TGGTTTCTGGGAAGTGGTTTCTGGGAAGTGGTTTCTGGACGCTGGTTTCTGGGAAATGGTTTCTGGGAAGTGGTTTCTGGGAAGTGGTTTCTGGGGGCTGGTTTCTGGGAAGGCTGGTTTCTGGGAAGTGGTTTCTGGGAAGTGTTTTTTGGGGGCTGGTTTCTGGGAAGTGGTTTTTGGGCAGTGGTTTCTGGGAAGTGGTTTCTGGCAAGTGGTTTCTGGGAAGTGGTTTCTGGGAAGTGGTTTCCGGGAAGTGGTTTCCGGGAAGTGGTTTCTGGGAAGTGGTTTCTGGGGACTGGTTTCTGGGGGCTGGTTTCTGGGAAGTGGTTTCTGGGGGCTGGTTTCTGGGAAGTGGTTTCTGGGAAGTGGTTTCTGGGAAGTGGTGTGGTTTCTGGGAAGTGGTTTCTGGGCAGTGGTTTTTGGGAAGTGGTTTGTGGGAAGTGGTTTCTGGGAAGTGGTTTCTGGATACTGGTTTCTGGTGACTGGTTTCTGGGAAGTGGTTTCTGGGGACTGGTTTCTGAGAAGGGTTCTTTTTTTGAGGGGGTGGTGGTGAAGGCCTAAGTCTACCCCACAGGCATCGTAAAGAAGCAAGGCCCTAAGCCAAGCCAAAAGAAACCGTGGCCCTACAGGAGCGAAACCCTAAGCAAAACCAAACCAAACCCTAAAGAAGTGAAGCCTTGAGTCAAACCCACAGACATCCTAAAGAACTGAAGCCCTCAGTGAAACCGAAAGACATCCTAAAGAGCAAAGCCCTAAGGCAAACCAACCCCCCTGAAGAAGTGAAGCCCTAAGTGAAACCCAAGACATCCCAAAGGAGCCCTCACGTGAAGGCCTAAGTCCAACCCAAAGACATCCTAAAGAAGCAAAAGAAAACCTAAAGGATCGAAACCCTAAGCAAAAAAACGGATCCTGAAGAAGTGAAGCCCTGAGTCAAATCCAAAGACATCCTCAAGAAGTGAAGCCCTAAGCTAAGACCAAAGAAACCCTAAAGGAGCGAGGCCCGAAGCAAAACCAAAAGAGACCCCAAAGAAGTAAAGGCTTATCCGACCCAAAGACATCCTAGAGACGCAAAGCCGGAAGCCCAACCACATGAAACCCTAAAGAGTGAAGCCTGAAGCAAAAGAAAAAAGACTAAAGAAGTGAAGCCCTAGCCCCTCTCCACTGAAGCCCTAATGCAAACCCAAAAACATCTTAAAGAAGCAAGCCCCTAAGGCAAACCAAACGAAACCCTAAAAGAGCAAAGCCCTGAGCAAAACCAAACCCAGCTTCACCAAATCACGTAATTACCACGACCATGTGCACAAAACACAAAATGTTGAGCAAGAGATGCTGTTGAATTTGTGCCAAAGACATCCTAAAGAAGTGAAGCGATAAGGCAGGCCAAAAGAGACCCTCAAGAAGTAAAGCTCTAAGTCACAACGAAAGACATCCTAAAACAGCAAAGTCCTGTGGCAAACCAGCCAGAAACCCTAAAGAAGCGAAGCCCTAAGTGAAACCCAAGACATCCTAATGGAGGGAAGCCCTAAGCAAAACGAAACCAGGCCCTAAAGAAGTGAATCCCTGAGTCAAACCCAAAGACATCCTAAAGAAGTGAAGCCCTAAGTGAAAACGAAAGACATCCTAAAGCAGCAAAGCCCTAAGCCCAACCAACCAGAGACCCCACAAAAACATCCTAAAGAAGCAAAAGAAAACCTAAAGGAGCGAAACCCTAAGCAAAACAAAAACAGATCCTCTACGAGGATCGCGCGTGCCAAGTGTTCAAACGTGTAGTGAAACGTCGATCGCGTTTGACGCGTTTGACCTGGAGCGACCCTCTGCGAGGATCGTGCGTGTCATATGATAATGCGTGGTACAAAACGCTCGTTCTGGAGACTTCCGCGGCTCACTTTTGAAAGACGTCTCGCCCAAAGCGCTCGTTCTGGAGACTTCCGCGGCTCACTTTTGAAGGAAGTCTGGCACAAAACGCTCGTTCTGGAGACTTCCGCGGCTCACTTTTAGAGGAAGTCTCGTACGATACGCTCGTTCTGGAGACTTCCGCGGCTCCCCTTGGAAAGAAGTCTCGTGCGAAACGCGCTCTCTCTGTCTCTCTCTCTCTCTCTCTCTCTCTGTCTCTCTCTCTCTCTCTCTAGACTTGCGCGGCTCACTTTTGAAGGAAGTCTCGTACAAAACGCTCGTTCTGGAGACTTCCGCAGCTCACTTTTGGAGGAAGTCTCGCACAAAGCGCTCGTTCTGGAGACTTCCGCGGCTCACTTTTGGAGGAAGTCTCGTACGATACGCTCGTTCTGGAGACTTCCGCGGCTCACTTTTGGAGGAAGTCTCGTACGAAACACTCATTTTCACTAGCAAATGCTACCTTCGAAGCACTACCGAATGATGCGTGTTCCAAAATGAGCCGCGAAATTGGTCTCACGCTGCAGTCCCGGAGAGTTTTCTTTTCGTCTGGGTTCCAAAATGAGCCAGGTTCCAAAATGAGCCGTTTCTAGGTTCCAAAATGAGCCGTGTACCATCTTTGAGAAGTGGATCTCTTCGACCAAGTCCGGTGGTTTTTGGGGGACCACCTCTCAAAGAACCACTATAGGGTCGGTTCATTTCTCTTCGACACCTGGCCCAGTCCCATAGAGTGGCCCGTAGGGCTCCAACCGTGGCTCCAACCATATCCTCAGATTCGGTGAGCTCCCATCCCCCTGGCATCCACCCACCCCAGTCCCACCTTCTCCTCAGGAGTCGGCGGCCGAACGGAGCCCGATCGGGTTCGGAAGGGACCGCGGGTCGCCCACTCCGAGGCTCCCCGGCGCTGTGGGACGTCACGAGGTGGGACGTCACGAGTTCGACGACGACGGGTCCGGAGATGGGAGGGTTTTCCAGCGCCAGGTGACGTTGGGTTGTCTCCCCGAACTGGTGACGTTGGGCATCAGCTTCTGAAGGCACAGCTTCAATGACCCAAAAAGTATGGTGCCCGATCAGGATCCGCACCCTCAAAAACAAGGGTTTGGTTCGGGGCCCCAAACCTTGTGAACTAGAGGGTTTGACCCCGAACGCCATGGAGGGTCCGTTCGGATCCTTAGGGGAACAGAAAATCCTTTTGGGTCGGTCTTGGGGCGCAGGCCATTGCTCCTTTTCGTCACCAGGATCCGGCTGACGACCAGACCCTTAAGAGGGGACCGTCGCCGAGGCAGGAAAACAAGGCATGCCTGGCCGGATCACTTTGGCTATAGCAGCTTGTTCATGGTGGTTTTTTGGGGGGAACATTGTTTGGGTTTGACCCTCATGCTTTTCATGCACTGTTGGTTCTTCACCCCAAAGAAGCCTGCAGCTGACCAACATTTTGTCGCCAAAGGATTTGTTTCCCGGCTTCCCACTTTTCAGCTGCTTTCAGTTGCCATAGCTCTTTCATCATGAGTACATTGGCAAAGGCCAACATACATTTCTCAATGCAATAAAGCATCGAAGATGCACAGGAAGTGTGTGTGTGTGTGTTTTAATTTGTTCCTGGGGTTGTTTCCCCACTAGATTCCAGTGTTAATATGGGGCCGTGGGCCCTCCATGTTTGCTCAAGAGAGAGCCTTTGAGAGCTTGTACCAAAACCATATCCAGCCATGGCCGCTGGCAGATGGCTGGTCTCGACCTCGCCGGCTCTCCGTGCAACTGGTGTGACTTGGACAAAGGTCATCCATGTATTTTGCGGTTTGCTTCTTAGCGGTTGAAACCAGAGAGGCTGCAAGAGTTCCTTTTTGGAAAACCAGACTCTCTCTCGTGAGGTTACTTGAGCAGTTGCTTGGTGGACTTTCACGTTGAGTTCTGTTTGAAGAGCTGCCATTTGCCACCTTTGGACGATGGCATTGATTGGCAGAAGTCGCAAGACATCTTCGATGAAGCCTTGAAGCTTGGCTGAAGCGGCAAAAGACCTCGTCATGCTGACCCTTAAGGCAGACCCTTGACCAAGCAAACATCACGTTCAGCACCAGGTCAGACTGAGTCAAGAGGGGGAGTCAATATTATGGATTCATCAAGGGAGCTCCTATGTTCTGTTGTCTCCAACCCTGAAATTCAAACCCTGCCAGACACTCCATGGGACTGCCATAGGACTGCCGACCCCCAAACCACCACCCCTGGCCGTTTCTCGGCAGTCCTATGGCAGTCCCATGGAGTCTATGGGAAAGGCTTTGGTGGCTTTTTTCGCTCCGCCGATGCGGTTGTCCCCGCAGGACACGTTGGCCCAGCTTGACGCCAGTCACTTGGATCTGGGCAAGCAAGCTATACCACACCATGCTTGTATGTGTGGTCTCAGACCTGCAATGCGAGTCTAGAGTGAGTCTGCCAGTCGTTCCTAATTACCGAATCATTGGACCCGACCACCGAACTGGAGGGTTTGGACCCTGCAGGTTCCGCAGGGGGCCCGAAAGGATCCGAGGGTGCACACCTTCACCGAACAGGTCGGGTCCTTTGATTCTTAGGGCGGATTCTTCACTTCATCGATTGGATGCCGCGACCGGGGGTCCCAGGCTGCTTCCTCCTGGCCAGAGGACACTTGCTTTTCCTTTTGCCGCATGTTTTTATAGAGAGACCTACCCAGGAAGTACGTAGATCACCTGCGGATCTTCACCTGATTTGGGGATTGGGGAGGGACACCCTAAACACTAAAGCCGGGTGGTTTCACTTCTATATGGACCGTGTCAAACGATCCAATCACATACCCAGCAAGAGCTCGTGGATCAGCTGAACAACCTTTAACCCCAGACGCTCCAAACAGCTCGACTGGTCCCTCAAAACCCTAGGGATTGGTGAGAAGGTCCGGACCCCTCCAGAGGATTCGGGTCCGGCCCCTACTGAACGGAGGGTCCAGACTTCGCGTCTCAAGATCCCATCGAGTTCGTTGAACAGGTCGAGTTCGTTCGGTGAACCTTTTACCGCTCCAGTCGTACCATGTCGTCCCGGTTCGGTATGACTGGACCCTCCGAACCCACCCATCCCCACCGAACCGAAACGAAGGGACGACGGGTGTCGCCCAAACGGGGTCCCAAACGAGTCCAGTTCGACGATATTTGGACCGGCTGAAGTAAAGGAGGGTTCCCTTTCAGATCCCCTATAGTCAGACCATTCTTTTGATAGTCGACTGGACTCCCAGGGGGGTGAGATTTGTTCCAGGGGAACTCCAAGGAGTTCGATCAACGATCGATACAGTGCCAACACACCCGTGCCCACCCGCTGCTCATCTGCAAACCTCGTGCCGTCTTCCCCGCCCGTTTGGGCCGGCCCTACTCGTGTTGGGGGGGAATTCCTGGATCTTGGTATCCGCTCCCGAACTTGATCCCCCCCTGGTTCTTCAAAGTGACCTAGCTTGATAACCTGGTTGGTTCGGTCACTTGTATAAGCCTCCTAAGGGTCACGAAAAGGAACCTTCAAAAGGTCACTTTGAAGAAGCTGGCCTGTTGTTTGTGATTGATGGTTTCTGGCAGCTTCTTCAGTTCGTGACCTCGAATTGGAGTCTCTAAGTGACCTTGCACAGACCTAAGTGACCTCATCCTGGGATATCAAGTTCGGTCACTTTGAAGGTCCTGGTGGTCTTAATTGTTCATTCTTCTTCTTTGTCTTCTTCGGTCACTCTATCAAAGTCCGGTCTGACACAGCGAGCTCACGGCTCACGACGGACGGGGGACACTGCGAACGGTACGGCTTTTCGCGTCCTCGGCCGCACCAAGTCGACCGGTGACGCCAAGCGCGGACGAGGTCAGCCCGGACTTTGCGCCTTTGCAGGACTTCCTCTTCGCGCCTCGGTATGGCTGGAGACTGCGGTGGAGCGCTGGGAGGCTTTTTAACGAGGTGCAAGGATCGTGCAACGGTTGTATACCAGAATGGTGGTGTTTGGGGGGTTCAGGGTATGTATCCAGGGATGGAAGATCCGCAGGTAAACCCATTTTGAAGGTGATCACCTTGGCTTGCACCTTGGCTTAGGGTCACCTGGCTGGTTCCGCCTCAGCCTACTCAGTGATCTCCGGACGTGACACTTGGACTGATGTTCGGACGAAGAAATCGGGTGTTTTCTGTTTCAAGTCCGCCAAAAGCATATGACCATGGAATGACCATGGTAAAGTTTATGACCAGATTTTGTTTGTTCCCATGGTCTTTGGGAATATAAGCCAAGAGTTTCAAACATCCAGGTCAAGAACGGTAGAGTGAACTTGAGTCTTGCCGCCAAGCCCTTCTTTTGAACCACGACCGCGAAGAGAGGACGAGGACTGGTGGGGGGAGGACGATGCCACAGCAGCTACAATGATTTTGCATTGAGGCTTGATCTGAACATGGTGGAAGCATTAGCTGACCAATCCCTCACCTGTTCATGCCATGTTTGTGTATCGCTGGCCGCTTGTGCTTAGCATGAAGTCTTCTCGTTGCATTCTCGGGAGATTAAGACTTGCCACGCAGCATTCTCCCCTCCAAGCTTCATCATTGTGTCATAGACATAGATCATGTTCTGTTACCAGTGCACAGTGCCAGCCTGCTTTGTGTAGAAGCAGATCAGCTGATCGCGTTCCCGCGGCCCGCGGAGTCTTCGCTGTCGAAGCTCCGAGTCTTCCAATGTCGGGGAGGACAAAGGGCTCGTGCCGAAGCTTTCGGGCGCGAAAGGTGAAGTTGGTGACTGCCGCTGGACTGTCCTGTTTGCAGATCAATCTCAAGCTGCCGGGCTGGAAGATGGTCTCCGTGCCGAGCTGCCGCGGAGCCCATCTTTGCTGCCTTTGCAGGTGCCCGGGTGCCTCCTGCATTCTTGGAGGTGACAGGGTGGTCACATGGGGCGGCGAAAGGCGCGGACAGTTTCTGCCGTCCAAGGCAAGCTTCGAGGTGTCCGGCAGATCGCGACACACAGGTGCATTCGTTTTTTCATGCTGGAAGATGGAGATCTGTTGAGTGACGTGGGACTCAGAACTGGGGTGACCCACATCGGACATCTCACACGCAATTCGCAGCATTTCCGGGACCTCCAGGAAGTCAACCTGTGCCTGCCGGAAGGTTTAAGAGCAGTGCAACATCAGCTGAAGACTTTGGGGCGCAGGTTCTGAGCTCCAAGCCTCCGTGGCCAGGACGGATCGGTAGTGGGGCGATGACGGTGGCGACGGCGCTCGTGAAGCAGCGATGCAGCCCAGCGTTTGCAGCATCCAAGAGAGGTGGAACGTGACCTGAACTAGGACCCTAGTGGGGTACCTATGGGATAGTCTATAGGGTCCTTCAACCTCTGTTGGATTTGCTGCCATCCGAAAGCAGACGGGTCGGTCGTGGAGGTGGCAGTTCAAATGCTGGAGGTGACGCCAGTGAGGTCCAAGCCCGTCTCAAGCATGTGAAGCAAGTGGAGTCAGCACATCACAACCCAGACGCTCCATATATGCCGACATTGACCTCTGTGGCACCACCCCAAATGATCGGCATATAAGCAATGAAGCATTTGCTGCACTCCTTCACTCCTTGCTGCTGGATCGAGTCATGACGTGGGGCCATTGGGATGAGGGTGTGGTTCCAGCGATGCAGTCGATGCAGATCAGCGATGCAGGGTGTGCAGCAGCTTCAGGGCACCACCACCTGTGCATGGGCGCCAACCGGTGCAGATGGGTCGGTCATCACATGAGGCTTAGAGACGGCGTGACACTTCTGCCGTCAATCGAAGGGTGTCCGGTGTGCCAGCAGAGGTCGAAGAACCCTAGTTCGACTATCCTATAATATCCTATAGGTACTTCTGTAGGGTCCTATAAGGTCACTTGACCTCTGTTGGTGCAGAAACTAGGGTCCGCCGGCGCCGCATTTGCTGCAATGCTGGAAGATGGAGATCTGTTGAGTGACGTGGTGCCTCTCAGACGGTAGTGACAGTTCTGCAGTCCAACATCAGCTCAAGACTGTGCAGCAGGTTCAGCAGATCGTGCCTCAGATCTGCAGCACTGGAAGATGGATCTGTGGTGCACAATGGAAGATGGATCTCTTTGGAGGGCTCGGACGCGAATCCGAACTGGTCAGGGGTTTGGGGTCGAACTAATTCCTATTTGAGGAACCTGTCGGGCTGTGAATGGCGCATCTGGGTTGTGGCCAGTATGTGGCCAACGGCACGGTCCTTACATTCGGTCAATCAGATTCCGGTGGTGACCCTTCCAAGAAAGAACATGGCGAGGAAGCACACATAGAGCAGCCAGGTAGACTGCAACGTCCACGCTGGACATGTAACAGTCCCCAGCCGCAAGGCAGCCATCGACTGGACCTTATGGAGATCCAGTCGTGCCAGTCGTACAGGTTTGGTGATTGGAGCCTGTTATGTAGGTGTATGTAGGTGCAATGGTCAGCTCCAGCCATACCGAACTGAAGGTCTAAGTGCCTTCGAAGGATCCCTTATAGGGGTTTATTTCTTTTGGGGGGTAGCCTGGGCCTGTTAAGGAGTCGCTGCAGCTCCGGAGCAGCTGCGAGGCGACGGCCTTGATCAGCCAGCTACTACTGGTGGCCTTGTCAACACCTGAGGCGAAGCAGAAGGCTTGGACCTGGTGAGGGGGATGGGTGGGGTGTTTGGTCAAAGATGTGGATCATCACCGAGGTCCCCACTACAGGTCAGTGAACGACCTCATGATTTTACTGGCAGCTGGTCATATATAAAAACACTAAGTCCAATGAGCTTTTTCAGGAGCGGGTTCTATATACTGAGTCACACTGGGCCTGTAGTGGTACATGTTTACCCTGTGTTCATCGATCCAAAACCCAAACCGAACTGGTCGCAGACCTCCGGTATCCGACGGTGGTTGCATGCAACGGCGCGTCCAGCTTCCCACATGCAAACTGGTGTCGTATTCTTTCCACTGTTGACCTCAGTTGTACTACCCTAAGGATCCGCACCCTCAAAAACAATGGTTTTGAGGGTACAAACCCTTGTTATAGAGGGTTCGACCCCTTCTAAGGAGGGTCCAAGGATCCTTAGGGTAGCTGTTGAGTGTACGGTTACAGTACAAGCCATCATTTCTCTATAGTCTTCCAAGACCATGAACAGAAGGCTTGACCTGTTTTTTGTAGTTAAATGGTTGTTCCGGATTGTTCGGGATTGAGGCCATTGGATCAATCGTGGTCCAGGAAGCTTAGAGATAGGGATTTGAGACGCCAAACGCTAGCTTGCAAACACCATACCATCCAAATACCACTGCCATGGCTTTGTACCAGGAGTAGATCCACCCAACAAGACCTCACCAAGTTCCAGCGGTGCGCTGGACCTGGAGATTTTTGCTGACAGCGAACTGAATCTCCCTGACCCTTTCGAGGACATTTGCTGAGGAACTGAATTCCAAAGAACTCATAATTCCGTTTTGCTCCTGTTCATTGGGTGATTTTCTCTCCTCCCAAACCCTGTGGGCTTAGCTCGCTTTGCTCGTTTCCCTAAGTCCGTGAAACGAGGTCGCCCCTGTGTTGGAGCTTCCGGACACGACTGGAACCTCCATGGCAGCCTGGGTGGTTTGGCTTGGAGAGGGGGAAGACACATTTCACTTTGGGAGTGGTTTGTCCACCCCATCGTTCACAAGAACAGGTAGAAAGTTCGGTTCTCCTTCAATTCCTCAGGGTTTTTCCAAGAGCCCTCGGAGTCAGAAGGAGTGACCTTGGCTGTGAGGAGTTGGCATGAAACGGAGCAGGTACGTGAGCCGTAGGGGGGGAGCGCTCTCTCCGGAGCTGGAACTTGAAGCAGCAGGGAGGGAGGGAGTGAACCCGCTAAGTCATACCCAGAGCATCGGAACTGGCAGGTTTTCCCTGCAGAACAGATGGGTTGGTTCAGATGCAGAAAAACGCCAGGTCCTAAGTCCTAGAAGTCCAGTTAAGTCCTAAGTCAACCTAGTTAGCCATGGGTCCCACTCAGGGAGAGTAAGTCCCACTCCGGTGCCGCACTGTGAGCACGGGAAGCGCCGCAAAGCGCGCGCGGCCACCCGGGACGGCACCCGGACATTGGACCCGACCACCGAACTGGAGGGGTTGGACCCTGCAGGTTGCGCAGGGGGCCCGACAGGACCCGAACCTTCACCGAACGGGTCGGGTCCTTGATTCTTAGGCTGATTGATCTTGATGAAGCTTTCGATCTCGATTGGCAAACCTGTAGAGATCCACTGCCACCTTCTCAGGAGGTACTTGGGCCCTCCAAGCCCCTACATAAATAGTCTCCTTCCTCACCCTACCTGAGAAGGTACGACTGGATTTGTAGGGAACCTAAGAAACCCAAAAAACACTATATGCTTAAGGCCGGTCAGTGCTGGCGGAGAGATGTTTCTTCCTAATTTAGGCTGCCAAATGCTTCCTTTCCTCCCAGGAAGGGGGTGGGGGCCACCAACACGAAGCTCCAGTGGCGGCTTTTCACTTGACCAACCGGTCTTCAAACCATGTGAGCATTTGCGCTTGAGTGCACCGAAGAGATCCAAAAAACACAAGAACCCAAGTGACCCTCCAACCCAAGTTCATCCCTCCCGGCCTGTCTGAAGCCGACTGAGCCGACCAAAGGTCTTCAGGATATGTTTGAAATCAGGACCGGTCTTTAAAGCGCCTTTTCTTTTGACTTTCCAGTTTTTTGGGGGGATTTAGTTGCCAGATTAAGGTGGCCAACTGGTTCCTATCACTGGCGGATCCCAGCTCATTGTCTTTGTCCGGATTCTTGGCAAAGATGCTTCTTCAACGAGGCAGGCCGTCTAGCTTTAGCTCAAACATCTTCCGTACGACGTCAGTGACTGACCTCAGGTTACTGGAGTTGGTGATATGTTGAAATATACTCTAGGCCTCCAAGTACCTTCTAAGAAGGTGTTTGGGGTGGGTGCCACGGGGGTCTAACCACCTTCTCAGGATATGGGCCAGGAGCCCTAGGGTAGAAACAACAACACGCAACACTAATTACTCACCTTGTTACTACTAGTAAGGCACTTGTTACTACTAGCGTGGCACCTGTTACTACTAGCTCCCAATATATATATATATGTTTTCAGGAGCAGGTTTGGACCTGGGTCCAGTCCTGGACCTGTAGATCTTCGATGGATTTCTTGCCGATGTTCAGCACGCTCACCGTGCTGCGCGGGTGAGCCAGCTGTTGCGGAGCTACGGGAGCTGTTGAGTGGTTTTCTCCAGCTGGTGCATCACTCAAGCACCGCAATGCCCTGGGGTTTCCCTTTTTAAAAGCCGGGAACCCTTCGGAGCTCATTCGAGGGGATCTCCCTAGCTAGTGGACTCGTGATTCGATTTCAACCCCACAAACGCGACCTCGGGAAGCGTGGCACCATGAGGAGTGGCCACTCACAAATCCATTTTCAAGGGCCAAGAGGTTGAAAAAAGCTCAGCCTTTGACCATGCACCACCCAGAAACTGGGTGGTTGGTTGTGGGATGGAACATGCATGGTCATGTGCCTCCAGCACCGGACACCGAACTGAAGCAACCAGACCAGGTGATCAAGTTCGGTCACGAACTGAAGGCGACGTCAGTGGTTGTTTGAAGTCCAAAGCAGGAACCAGGTGGTATAGACAAGATGGAGATGCCAAAAACACTACACATCCTGTTTGGGGATCCACATAATACCTTACAGTCAGGTTCGGTACCACTGGACCCGACTGGCTGGCACCTACATCAAAGTCTCTCTAACGCATGCTCTTTATGGATCCACGAGGATCATTCAGCTTTCTCGATCCCTTTGGGGCTCCAAGTTCCAACAGAGGTATCCAGTGACCTGAACTAGGACCCGGAAAACCTGGGGTACCTAATATAGTCGAACACGGTCGAACAGTCGGCTTCTTCAACCCAACAGCGAACGTGTGGCTCCAAGGATGGCACATCTTCTTCGACGCGGTGCTGCTGGCCTTGTCCGCCGCGGGCGTCGACGCCGACGCGGAGTGCAGCGATGCCTGGGGTGAAGCGGAGGGCGACGGAGCGATGGCGGTGAGGTTGCTGAAGCTGGGCGGAAGTAGCCCAGACGCTCTGAAGCGACGCCCGACAGGTCCTGAAGGAGGTCCTTCATGTCCTCTAGGGATTAGGTGAGAAAACCCAGACCCATCCTGAGCATTTGGGTGAGAGGCTGGGACTTGATAATGGTTGGGAAACAAAGAGCAGCATCCCCCCCAAGAAAAAGGTGTTCCAAAACATTCCAAGACCGAGACCAATTTGTATAGTCGTTGCACCAAAACATGACATGTTGAGTATAGATTTCCATGTGGCACTAGTCCCTTCAGTCGCGAGGAAGAGAGTACACAAATAAAAACATATTCCCATCCAGTCCTGGCGTCCAGCTATTGACATCCAGTTTTCCGATGTGTTTCCGATGCGTTCAGACACGACCCGTTTGGGACCGGGACCCATATACACAAAAGGCCAGGGGGTGGTGGTGCTCATGGGGGGTCTTTCAGTCCTATGGCAGTGCCAGTCGGAATGTTCCCTATAGGGCTCCGTTCGGCCGCCCCCCGAGGAGAAGGTGGGCCAGGGGTGGGTGCCATGGGGTCGAAGACCACCGGTCACCGGGTCGGAGATGGGGTGGGGCGTTCGGAGCTTGTTACTACTAGTAAGGCACTTGTTCCTAGTAGCGTGGCACTTGTTACTTAGTAGCTTCTTGTTACTACTATAGTAAGGCACTTGTTACTACTAGCGATGCACCTTATAGGGGCCCTGGTCGGAATGCAGGAAGCACCTGGATCTCACAGCACCGGACCATTCCTGGCGTGCTGCGGTCCAGCAGCGCCTGGTGAAGGATCGCCTGCGCCGCAGCTTCGCCGCTCGCCTTCGCGTCCCGTGGGACTCGCGCGGTTGCGCCGCGAATCGGGGGGAGGTACCTGGGTCCAGGTTTTGCGGATCAGGTATTTTGTGTACTTTTTCCCATGCAGTTCCTGGCAGAAGGACCTTAAGGGGCGAGGACGGACCGCTCGCAAGTTGGTTTGGGAAATATATTATATATTATAATATATATTATATATATATATACATGTTTTATAGGCTCCTGGGGAGCTGCAAATCTACAAATCAATGGTTGTGGGAATCCAGTGTTGGACGATGAGTCCTTTGAGATAGGGTGACTCAGTGTTCAGAAAAAACCGCGTGACTCGAACTGGGCGTGGTTTTTGCACCTCTGGGACTTTCTGGGAAGCCCTGGGCACCTCAGGAACTCTTCCGTGGCCTCCGAGTGTCGCCTCTGACCCTCCCGTGCGCGCGCGCCGCCGCCCGCGCGCACGCCGCGGTGGCGCGCACGGTGCGGTACCAGAGCCTCGGTCCGGGACGCAGGTGAGCTGAGCGGGCAGGTGGTGGAGATGTGAACTTGACGCGGGACTGCCACAAGGAGAGGAGACTGAAGGAGGTCGCAGGCAGATTGGTACCTATAGGCACTACCTATGGGAATCCAAGTACCCTCTCAGAAGGTACGACTGGACCCTCCAAACCTACATAACAGTGTCTCCAATCACATTCTGAGAAGGTACTTGGATCACTTGATGTGAGTGATGAGGAAGGCCCAAAGATGCCAAGGTGGCCCCCCTCAGAAATGCCTGGACCTGGACCCGACTTCAAGTACCTTAGGCAATAGGACATGTCCTACTCATTTTCCCTAGGGCTCCAACCATCTCCTGAGGTTCGGTGGTTGGGGTGGGTGCCATGGGGGTCTAACCACCGAACCTGAGGATATGGGCCAGGAGCCCTGGGGTTTTTAAGGTACGAAGTTCGCTTCACCATGCTCAGAATTACTGCATGTTAAATTGCAAAAGGTTTTTAAGGGGAACACCGACAGGAAACCAATAGATAGATTGCATAGATTGGCGCCGTGAAAACCATGGTCTTTGTGGCAATTTGGGGACGTTTTCTTTGCCAGGGCATCTTCACACCACACCTGCTCCACACCTTTCTCCTTCCCACTTTCATCCCCAGGGCCTGGACGGCCAAGCGGCTCGAATGGAAGCGCCTGCCAGCAGCCCGCTTTCCCGACGAGGTGCCGCTGGGACTTCTCCAATTCTTCGGACAGGAGGAGGAGCAGGAGGAGGAGGATGTGTTCAGATGCGTTTTGAGACGGCTAGAACAGGGTCCTTTCCAAAAGAATGGGTCTTCAATGGTCTTATATTCCATGATGGTCTTCATGAGGTAGCTTCAGATTGGAATGATTTCATTGCTGTATGAAGGAGTCACACAAATGTCCCATACATGCCGCACTGCGGCTGTGGCACATTTCAATATATGTGTTTTTTTTTCATGCATGTTTGCACTGCACCCTCCTATCTGAAGGGGTCGAACCCTCTAGTTCACAAGGGTTTGTTTCGGATGCGGATCCTTAGGCCTTATAGGGATGTTTAATTCATAGTGTTTAATTCGACAACGCATCAATCTCCGAAGAGGAGGTTCTGATCATCCTGTCAGACGACCCTGTCAGTCTTCCAGGTCTAACACAAGCGGGCACCCGGACAGGAAGTGCTAGGTTGTTTTTGAGCTTTTTCTTCTTTCAAGGAGTCATAAGGAGTTGGGTGGTGTGGCTCGTCCCCTTACGTGAGTAGATGTGTAGCTGGGCACCCAACTCCTACCTCCATGGAGTCCGCACCCCGTCGAACGTGACTGCAGGAAGAGTCTCCTATTTCTGAGCTCCACTGTCAACTCGGATCCACGGCAACCCTCAGTCCACGCAGCCAGAGGCTCCTTCCGCCAACCCACGCGTCTCACAGCAACCCACGCGCACGGCGGTGTGCGTGGTGGGTCAGCCCCGCGCGATGTTCGGTTCCTGGTTCGGGCCGTTGGCACGCCCCTTGGTGGGTCGACGCGGCTGGCCTCGTTGGGGCTGAGCGGAGCGTTCGGGCGTCGAGATCCAGTCGTAGCTTCTCAGGTTCGGTACGACTGGATCATGTAGATCTCTAGGGATCTCATCCGGGTGGTTGTGAAGCATCTGGCAGCTGTCATCCATGAGTAGTCCCTAGGGCTCCTGGCCCATATCATCCTCAGAAGGTGGTTAAACCCCCCTGACACTTACCCTAACCACCTGCTCAGAGGTACATGGAGGTACCAGGAGCCCGAACGGGAGTGGACACTGACATGAACGGTCCATAGATGAACATCTGGAGCCCTAGGGCTCCAGTCGTACCGAACCTGAGGAGAAGGTGTTTAGGGTGGGTGCCAGGAGGGTCCAGATACCTTCTCAGCAGGTACGACTGGAGCCCTACCAGGGGCCCTCAAAACCATGAAAAAGGTGTTCATCTACAAAAACATGTCTTTTGCTAGGGAACACATGGTTTTTGATGGTTTGTGGAGCCCCTGGTAGGGTGGTGGTTTTGTTTGGTGCAGGGTCGGAGGGATTTTTCGTCAAGTCACCAATCCCAGACACTCCACGGGACTGCCATATTTGCCGACCCATTGACCCCCCCAGACTTTCACCACTTGGAATTTGTGATGGCTCGCTGGGAGAGGCTACGGGTTGACATTGCTTCCCAACGCTGGGAAAACCGTTGATTGTCTCAGCACAGATGCAAAGGGGGGTTGGGCACCCTGTCTGACTGACTGGATTGCTCACAATAAATGCACATACATACTCTCACATAAGGCCCCTGTCTAGGAGATGTTCACGGAAGGGAGCCCCAGGCTGTAACTTACCTGTAACAGTCAGTGTACGATCATACGATAATCACCGTTTTGAACAAGGCCTTTACTAACCATCATCATCCGCGGTTACTGGTAATCGGATAGACCCAATCCATGCCCTTTGTGGAGTCGTGTTGCTCCACAAGTTGCAGTTCCGCACCGCTCCTCGAGATGTATCTCCTGACCCTGACCCTTCGGAGCCCTAATCCCCTAGGGATCCGTTTTCGTACCGAACCTCAGGTTCGGTACCACTGGACCCGACGTGACTGGGCACCTACAGTCTCCGGTGTCGAACACATCACCATACCTGAGGTTTGGTACGACTGGCTCCGTAAGGATCGATTGTTTAGAAGGGTCTCACAAATACATCCCCACATCTGATCGAAATGCAGCGTCCATCCACTGCAAGCTTCTCATGTTGCTAATCTTCCAGCTGCATAACACAGCTTCTCTTCACCTGCACCTGTTAGATGATCCATATACTACTTGTACCCTAGAAGTCCAATTCGACGATATTTTGATCGACTGGGGTACGGTAAAGGAGGTTCCCTTATTCATCAGGTTTGTCAGAACAATGTCATTGACTCCCAGGGTATTTCTCGCATTTTGCATTCGACAGGACTTTGACAACTGATTCCTGCAGACTGAGTCAGGAACGGACGAAATACTGGAGTTGGTCATCACACGGCTCAAGAGGGCCTAAATACCAGATCCCCCTCCAGAATCATCCTATGAATCAGGTGGGGTTGACGTCTCCATAATATAGGATGCACCGGCCCTGTTTGACCAGAGGGGGCACATTCTAAGGTGAGGAAATCACCCGTCATTCGGAGGAACGATTGTGATGGTTCACCTTCCCAGCCAAGTCCTAACTTCTTATGATCTTGTCAGCACATGTCAGCGGTTGCACCTCGCGGCATT